GAATGTAATGTGGCTAGATGGTTTCTTCTGGAGAACTATGGGGAGCTTTACTTCGGGAACATGGTGACTTGCTTTTCATAGGTTGACCCTAATGACCAGTACAGCTAATATACATGACTCTGGGGGCCCGTTGTTAATTTTCACTTCGAACCCCATGGGGGTGATGGGCTCCATTCAAAGGCTCCAGGCTGGGTAAAGATCTACTTCCTTTTCGTGTCCAAAAATACTTCCTCCAATAGTCCCCAGCAGGGTCATTTGTTCCTCTCTCTGTGACTGCGGTGCTTTGACACTCCCACCTAACCCCCGTGCACCGCACAGATAAAGAATGGGTCTGAAAGACACCATTGAAATCCTGCGCAGGAAGCCACGCCCACCTAACCGCCCCAGCCCACCCTCATGTACCTTCACCAAACACCCACAGGCTCCGTGTTGCTTCCCTGTTACTCCTGTCCTCTCTGATGACCTCCCTTGACGTTAACGCTATTCTTTTCTTTGTTTTCAAAAGAAAACCAGAAAATCAATTTATTAATGTGCAGTGAGAACTCCACTTGCCAAGCGACTCAGGGCAGCCAGCGCTGGGATGTTCTCCCCAGGCAGCCATCAGGGATCTGAATGCGGGCTGCTGATAAGAAGAACCTAGAAGCTGAATGGCATCAGTCCACGGTGTCCATTCCCATAGTAACGTGCCTGATTCTTGGACTGGTCCAGCTTGGGGTCTGACTAGGCTTCTCTCAAGTCTGGAGTTGGTCCTACCAAGAGGAGACTGTAATCACCTTCAAAGGGGGGGGGGGCTAGGGGAAGGAAAACAAGATTGTGTAGGTAAAATTAAAAAAAAAAAAAAAGGTTCTACAAATAACTTCCTTATGCCCAGAATCCTTTGAGGTTGCATCCTGAAACATCATGCTTTCTATCAAAGCTGGTCTGGAAATTGTAAAGAAGGGCCTTTGCAGATTTGACATACCTTCCTACTGCGAAAAGAGCAGAACGTACAGGTCCGCCCCAAGCCCCTGCCCCTTCCTCTGTCTTCGCTTCTTGGCTCTGCTCAGCTACCCTTGTCACTGTCCCTAGGTAACGTCATCCACTCTGGTGGCACACAGGAGAATAAGCAAGTCTGACTCCAGTGAAGGAGAGAGCATGGAACGGTTGGGCAAAAACCTCTTAGACCATGCAATGGCGGGAAGTAGTTCAACAATGTCAAAGGTGGCCACCAGAGGATCACGTCCCCAAGGAGCAGGTGCCTTAGCAGCCCAGTCACACTCGGAGACTGCGAGATGCCCATGGGAAGCATGGCCCCAGGACCACAGTGGTGATGGACTGGAGAACACAGTAGTTGGGCCTTTCGTCAATTGAATTCCTTGATCACAGTACTTATCAGTACCTGGTCCCTAAAAGACATTCAATAAACCTTTACTGAATGACTGACTGACTGAATGAATGAATGATCAGCCACTGGTACTAGTGAGATTACTGAAATTGGCAATTTCAGTTTCAAGAAATAAGCCTTTGAAATGGATTGTTCTGGAAATAAGCTACAATTTGAGGGTGAGTTAGCCTTTCAGGCTGAGTTTTTAAGACTCTAGGGGAACTGTTTCAGGTTAGGGCAATGTTTCTGACTCAGAGTGGGGATGACTTGGAACAGAGTGAGAGGGAAGTTACGCTCCAGTCCTGTCCGGCCCTTCGGTGAATATGGTGAATATGGGCCGAAAGACATAATGAATGTGAAAATGTTTCTCCAAGTCAGTCCAAACAGACTGTCTTGCTGTTGTTCATGGGTGACAGGTTTGAGGGTGAGGAAGATATGGGGACAGGTGAGTGAAGACACAGATGTCGATCAAGACTCCCCAAGATGTGGGGGAGGCTGTGTTTTGGAAAGTGAAGGTTCAGAGAAGGCAGTTAGTCAAAGCAGATCAGACCTATCGAATGAGTAGGGAGAGCATTTAAACCAAGGAGTCTTGTCCACATGACATCTCATCGAGTGTGCAAAGAGCATCCTGGATTGCCAGACTCTGAAATGACTGGTCAGTTCCAGCTCATACTCATCACTGGGGAAAATGTAGGCAGCTTTGTGGTTTGAAGCAGAATGTCCTAACAAAATCTGTCGTTCCACTCAGGATGCTTAGAACCATGGCCCTCAAGATGTCTAAGATGCCGAAGCCAAGTTGGCCAAGGCCCTAGGAAACATTACGTGTGGCTGAGAACAGTGCGTGTTGGCTGGGACTCTTGTGTTCTGTGTGGACAGCCCAGCTCAGCCTCAGAGAACCACAGACAAGCCGGGGCCTCTGTCTGGAGACAAGGGAAGAACCAGAAGTACCTAGGGACAAATGTGTCATCCTGAATCCCTGAAGTTTCGTTCATTCATATCAGACTGAATACCAACATCCAAGAACCCAAAAAGACCTGGGTTCAAGGCCCGACTCACCAAGTCAGCGCATGGCCTTGAGCTGAACTATGACCTTTTCATCTGTAAAAGGATCTTGGGAACCTTTTTTACTGCTTGTTATGATGATTACAGGTATCACTTACCAAAGAGTCCAATCAGGCACACAGGCATTCAAACAACGTACAACTATTATTACAATCACTAGTGTTATATTAGCATTATCATTGTTAGCAGACAATGTAAATTGGACTTGGCTTTGACATTTACTCTTTTGTCTTTGCCAGATTATTTAGCCTCTCTGGACCTCATCTTCCTTATATTGAAATTGGAGAAAATATTATTTAATCTGGCATGGTATTATACAAATCAGAGTTAATCTAAGAAAGTGCCTAATTAAGTGCCTGGATCAAAGTGGAACTCACTCAGTAAATATTATCAGGATCAGTTTTCATAGACCAAAGCAAGAATGAAAAATTATTGGTGTTGCTTCTTATAAATCAATAATGTCTAAACATCACAAGTCCTTTGAATTATTTGGTGGGAAATAAATTCTCTTTTAAATCTGCTTGCTTTATTCTGGAGGAACCTGTGGGCCACAGAAGCTGAGGCTGGCTCCCCTGTGCTCCTCTTCCCCGAGATCCTCCTGCTCTGTGCATGATCCAGGGAGACATTTCCCAGCCAGCCTCAGGTCCCCTGAGGAGAGCTGGGGCAAAAGGCCACCATTCTTTAAACTGCTGCTGAATGTTCAGACCATGAGACTCCTGTCTCTCCTCACTCTGGGCTGGCCCATCCCCAAGAAGAAAGCCAGCCAGGAGGTGGAGGAGGTTAGAAAACCATTTTGTATCCATCCTGTTTTTAATTGATTTCACAGCAGGGGAAGAAAAATCGGAATCTTTCCCTTGTAACCTTTCCATGAGGGAGGCCTTCTCTGGTCAGGAAACCCAGCTGGGGGGAGTTGGGCTCCATCTGCCAGCTCTCTGCTTTCCTCCCTAGTCTGTAAACCCCTCTTGTCCAGTGCCATGCCGCATGCCCGTGGTCTCTAAGGGTCCTCTGGGGAACCCCTTTGCACATTAGCTCCTGGCAGAGGAAGCCCTGGCTGTCTCGAGTGGCCCTGGTCCCCACCTGAGCCTATCTGGTCTCCATCTGAGGATTATGCCACAGGTCTGCTGGGGCTCCCAGGGCCTTAGATCTGGATCCTGCTCCCTTTGGCTCAATCCCACAATGAGTGCCCTGTCGGAACCCAAAGTCTCTGGAGATATTTGTGGATTTCAGGGTGGGGGCAGGGATCGGTTAACATTGTATAATTACCTTTGGCCTCCAATTTTCTGCATCTTGAGGCAGGAACTTGGCCCTCAAAATGGTGTGTGGAGACTTTTATGTGGAGTAAGCGGTTGGAAAGAGTGCCACATAACTCACCACGGAGAAAACAATGGAAACACACATGCTTGATTCTGTTCTTAAAAGATGGTTCAATCATTCAGCTGTGAGGGAGGGAGTGGATGGGTTCTCTGCTAAATATACATTACTATCAAGATTACCTCTAGAGAAAGAATTGGGTGACTGAGGACCCGGGACACACAGATTCTGTGTATCATCTAACCCTCTTGAATTTTGTTTTGTTTTTATACATATAATTTTGTTACACATATGTCCAACATATTACCACGTCCCATATGTTGTCTCCCCTAATTTATCTAAATTGTCTTCTAGAACCTTCTTTTTACAGAGCTAATCCTTTAAGGGCTGATTTCAAAAAGTCTTAGCTGCTTGGGAGGCTAGGAGACAGGCCCCCTTCTCACGTGAGCCCGGGAGATTTAGGCCAGTGTTCCCACCACAGCACAGATTCTGTCTCTAAATATAATAATAAAGTAATAATAAGAAGAAGCCATTATTATTATTTTGTCTTCTTTTCCTAATTTCTCAAGCCCCTAAGTCCCTCTTGCCCTCTGTGAGCTCTGACAGGATCTCCAGTCCGTCTCGCTAAGGTTGGCCCCCTCACACCAATGTGTCTCCCCATAGCTGTTTGCTAAACGTTGTGCTCGTCACTTCCTCGTGGATGAAGACCCACATCCTACGGCCAAATCAGAGGATGAGCGATAAGGGCCTATGAGACAAGTCTGGGGTAAGGCACAGCTGACCCAAAATGTCCTTTAGAACTGAGTCAAGGCCCCCTTCCTTCTCTTTGTTCCCGTGACCAGTGGGAATCCCGGCTGTCAGTGATCCCCTTACTGTGTTGGTTTTTTTTTTTCCTGGAGATGCATTTTGGACCATCAAAAATGGTAAGAACTTAAATCTCTGTGGACCACTGTGCACTGGGTGTCTACGACCAAAACTTGAACAGCTTATTTTCTTCATTTAAAACATGTTAAGGAAAAAAGAAAGAAAGAAAGAAAGAAAGAAAGAAAGAAAGAAAGAAAGAAAGAAAG